TTTTTTTTTTTTTTTTTTTTTTTTTTTTTTTTTTTTTATAGTTGCGCAATCAGAACGACTGCAATAGTTGAATTTTTTATTAAATCTATTGAAAATAATTTATTTTCATTAATATTTTTTAAACCTCTGTGTGATAATTTTTTGAAACGTATATTTTTCTGAATTATCAAGACAAACATGTTAAGTGCATATACTACTTTAATTAAAATGACATCTCTACTAATGATTTTTTAACGACATTTTTTGTAAAGATAACTAAACAATCGAATATAAAAACATATCAAAACTGACTTAATAATTTAATATATCTATTTTTTATTTATTTAGTGACCTAAATTGAGACATATTACCGATTTTATATTGGAAAATCAACAGCGGCATGTTTTCTACCCCCTAAATATTTAGCGTCTGACTAAAATTAAATTATACTACGTACAATTGTAGATAGTGCTCGGGTTATTTGCAAATATTTTCCGCCTGACTGAATTAAATTAATACTATTTGAATTTTATTATTGCAAGATGTAGCAATTAATAAATAATAATATATTATCCGTATAAAAAAAAAGTTCCGGAATAGTTCCTGGTTCCGGAACGTTCCTATGATATAAGACAATCCGGAACATCCCCGAAATATTTCTGCTACTATTATTATTTTTTTGTCAGATCAATTTCCAAAAGAATCAATAAATCCCAAAAATATCGAAAATAATTTTTTTAATCGTCCTTTGTGGGCTCGTTTTTTTTCACTGAGAATATGTCATATCGGTAATATTATTATTATTATTATTATTATTATTATTATTATTAATATAAAGATAAAAAACATAAAAAATAAATTTATTGTTCTTTAATTTTGCAGTGCAAAGATAATTCAGATTGTCCAACTTCTCCACTTACATTTTGCCAATATTATATAGACGACGATGATCTTCCTAGAGGGGAATGTATATAGATCTCGAAGATTAGTAAAATGTCGTCTAATTTGATTTACCATGATAATTTGTGTGCATCTTTTGGTTTTATTTATTTTATCCTTCAAAATATTTTGTTTAATTTTTGTTTAACACAACGCGCGAGCCTGGTGAGAAATATTCAATATATGCTTTTAAAACTATTTTCAATTATTAAGTCAGTTCATTTTTTTTTTATTTAATTATTTAGTTATATTTATATATAATTAAATGTCGTTAAAAAATTATCAGATTTAGAGAGGTTTAAAAAATATTAATGAAAATAAATTATTTTTAATGGATTTTATTGAAATAATTGAGCCCCATCATAATTAATCACCTCTACATAATGACTACATATTAAATTAATAGAATGTTAATTATAGATAAGATAACAATAATAAGTAATAGTGATAAAAATTGTTATTGTCATTGATTCATCTTCACAATAATATTGTTTTACAGTTTTAAAGTTTATTGTCAGCACGATAGCGTAAACAAAATTTTAAATATATCAATATTTTTAGCCGTTTTAAATTTTTTGGCTGTATTATAGTATGAACATAATGTAGATTTAAATTAATTATTTAATTTTTTTTTTTTTTTTTTATTATATATCATTGTTAATATTATTTTCTAAGAAATAAATTTTATTTATTTGAGAAATCTATTTGCAGTTTTGACTGCCGAATGGCCTTATCTTATTTTTTTATTCTATTCTATTCTATTCTAAAATTCGACTATATGAAGGATCTTTTGTCCTATAGATTTTCTTATTAGGTAAAAAAATTAGCTTACAAATTAAACAAAATATTTTTTAGGGTAAAATGAATAAGACCAAAGCACAAATTATCTTGATAAATCAGATGCGTTTATTATTAGACCACATTATACTGCTGACTTATACTAAGAGGTGTATATCTTGACATGTCATTCCTGCGTAATTCCCATTTTCATCACCTTGAGTTTCGCAGTATTCGTTAAATTTATCACAATCTTTATTAGTCTTACACTGTAAAATCAGAGAACATTAAATTTATTTTATATTTTTTATAGACTATTAATAATAATAATAATAATAATAATAATAAATAATAATATTACTGGATTATTACATGCACACAAATTATCATGGTAAATCAAATTAGACGACATTTTACTAATCTTCGAGATCTATATACATTCCCCTCTAGGAAGATCATCGTCGTCTATATAATATTGGCAAAATGTAAGTGGAGAAGTTGGACAATCTGAATTATCTTTGCACTGCAAAATTAAAGAACAATAAATTTATTTTTTATGTTTTTTATCTTTATATTAATAATAATAATAATAATAATAATAATAATAATATTACCGATATGACATATTCTCAGTGAAAAAAACGAGCCCATTGTGTACACACAATTATTGTATACTTGATAGGAAAATACTAAATTGTTGAAATAAGTGCCACGTAAGAAAAACGTGGCATTATTTATTAATTAAAAAATAATCTAAACTGAATTGAATTACTATTTAAAACTAAATATAAGAAAATATGTAAGTAATAATATTATATTAAAAATTGCATGATAGTTAATTAAATAAAAAATACCAAATTTTGGAGTAAATCTTTTTCAAAGCCGTGTACAACACCAGACCGTGATAAAACTTTGTAAATTAAAGATACCGATATAACGGTAATGCCCTTTATATATTTCTTCATTAGTCCCACTATCACGGCTATCACGACTATCACGACCAATGACAGTCCAGCCGACGCCTTATCTAGCTCTAATTAGGTATTTCACCATCCCAAATCCCAATTGGCTGGTCAAAAGTAATACCTAGAGATAATTAAAGGCAAAATTAAACAAACGAAAATTTTTAGGCAAGTGAAAATATTTTCTGACTGTCGATTTTTTAGATTCGTAAAAAAATAAACACAAACTCACCAATTTTGTAATGAAATTTTATTTTCATTTTTTACTATTTTTACCAAAAAATATAAGTTAATATTTAGTGTCATACTTACTTGTTATCTATAATTAATATCTAGTCATTCTATAAGTTAATTAAGATAGTCTTTAGGCAGCGTCCATTAAAGAAAAAAAAAATTATCTTTATTTTATTTTAATAAATAAATAAATAGATAAACTACTTTACAGTTTTTTTTTTTTTTTTTTTTTTTTTTTTTTATAGTTGCGCAATCAGAACGACTGCAATAGTTGAATTTTTTATTAAATCTATTGAAAATAATTTATTTTCATTAATATTTTTTAAACCTCTGTGTGATAATTTTTTGAAACGTATATTTTTCTGAATTATCAAGACAAACATGTTAAGTGCATATACTACTTTAATTAAAATGACATCTCTACTAATGATTTTTTAACGACATTTTTTGTAAAGATAACTAAACAATCGAATATAAAAACATATCAAAACTGACTTAATAATTTAATATATCTATTTTTTATTTATTTAGTGACCTAAATTGAGACATATTACCGATTTTATATTGGAAAATCAACAGCGGCATGTTTTCTACCCCCTAAATATTTAGCGTCTGACTAAAATTAAATTATACTACGTACAATTGTAGATAGTGCTCGGGTTATTTGCAAATATTTTCCGCCTGACTGAATTAAATTAATACTATTTGAATTTTATTATTGCAAGATGTAGCAATTAATAAATAATAATATATTATCCGTATAAAAAAAAAGTTCCGGAATAGTTCCTGGTTCCGGAACGTTCCTATGATATAAGACAATCCGGAACATCCCCGAAATATTTCTGCTACTATTATTATTTTTTTGTCAGATCAATTTCCAAAAGAATCAATAAATCCCAAAAATATCGAAAATAATTTTTTTAATCGTCCTTTGTGGGCTCGTTTTTTTTCACTGAGAATATGTCATATCGGTAATATTATTATTATTATTATTATTATTATTATTATTATTAATATAAAGATAAAAAACATAAAAAATAAATTTATTGTTCTTTAATTTTGCAGTGCAAAGATAATTCAGATTGTCCAACTTCTCCACTTACATTTTGCCAATATTATATAGACGACGATGATCTTCCTAGAGGGGAATGTATATAGATCTCGAAGATTAGTAAAATGTCGTCTAATTTGATTTACCATGATAATTTGTGTGCATCTTTTGGTTTTATTTATTTTATCCTTCAAAATATTTTGTTTAATTTTTGTTTAACACAACGCGCGAGCCTGGTGAGAAATATTCAATATATGCTTTTAAAACTATTTTCAATTATTAAGTCAGTTCATTTTTTTTTTATTTAATTATTTAGTTATATTTATATATAATTAAATGTCGTTAAAAAATTATCAGATTTAGAGAGGTTTAAAAAATATTAATGAAAATAAATTATTTTTAATGGATTTTATTGAAATAATTGAGCCCCATCATAATTAATCACCTCTACATAATGACTACATATTAAATTAATAGAATGTTAATTATAGATAAGATAACAATAATAAGTAATAGTGATAAAAATTGTTATTGTCATTGATTCATCTTCACAATAATATTGTTTTACAGTTTTAAAGTTTATTGTCAGCACGATAGCGTAAACAAAATTTTAAATATATCAATATTTTTAGCCGTTTTAAATTTTTTGGCTGTATTATAGTATGAACATAATGTAGATTTAAATTAATTATTTAATTTTTTTTTTTTTTTTTTTTATTATATATCATTGTTAATATTATTTTCTAAGAAATAAATTTTATTTATTTGAGAAATCTATTTGCAGTTTTGACTGCCGAATGGCCTTATCTTATTTTTTTATTCTATTCTATTCTATTCTAAAATTCGACTATATGAAGGATCTTTTGTCCTATAGATTTTCTTATTAGGTAAAAAAATTAGCTTACAAATTAAACAAAATATTTTTTAGGGTAAAATGAATAAGACCAAAGCACAAATTATCTTGATAAATCAGATGCGTTTATTATTAGACCACATTATACTGCTGACTTATACTAAGAGGTTTATATCTTGACATGTCATTCCTGCGTAATTCCCATTTTCATCACCTTGAGTTTCGCAGTATTCGTTAAATTTATCACAATCTCTATTAGTCTTACACTGTAAAATCAGAGAACATTAAATTTATTTTATATTTTTTATAGACTATTAATAATAATAATAATAATAATAATAATAAATAATAATATTACTGGATTATTAATCCTTGCGTCTACAGTAACAAAAATGAGCCCACACAGGACGATTAAGAAAATAGCCAAAATTATTTTCGACATTCTTGCGATTTATTGATCTCTTATTGGAAATTGATCCAAAAAAAAATAATATTTATTTAAATTTTATTAAGTTATTTAAAATAAAAAATAGTTACTTGTAAATTGTTGTATGTTTGTTTGTTTATACTTTCGAATAATTTATCGGGACACTTAAATACCGAAAGTTTTTTAAAAAGTGGAAATATTTTACGACGCTCGATCTTTGGGATTCGTCGAAAAAAAATAAAAAATAGTCACGAAAAGCGTAAACACATCAAATGCGGTTTACTCGTTAAAATTTTAGCGTTAGTCATGCAAATCATGACCAATAAAAAAATATCTTACTTAAGTTTTATTTTTTTTTTTTCAGTGAAACATCGCGGAATATTTTTTTTTACATAATTTAATTTTTAAAAAATGAAAATTAATTAAATTCTTGGTAGTTTAATTAATTTAATTATTTTATGCAAAAAATAAAACATATTTGTTTCAAACAAAAGTTTTAACTTTAAATATTTTATTTAAAAAAAAAATTACTTCGATTTCTGATTTTTTATTAGAAAAAAAAAGTTATGGGGTTTCAAAACCCTAAAAAAAGAGAAAATTTAAAAAAAAAAAAAAAAGGGTTTTTGAATTAGAGGCGCTGAAAAATTGGCGAAAAAATATTGGAATCAAAAAAATTTATAGTGGGTCTTAAAGTTGAAACTCTGAGAATTTTGAAAATGCCGACAAAGACATAAAAATAATTAATTTAATTACTTTAATCTTATAAAAAACTTTCCAACTATTTTTTTTCACGAGAATTTTGAGTTTTTAGCTTTAAAAATTTTTATTAAATGAATTATTGATTTTATAAAAAAAATTGAGAACAAAAGTTGTAGCTCAGAGTCTTATATGTTAAATTAAATTCGTCCGGATTCTTAATTTTAATTATAAAAATAGTTATGGGTCTTTAAAGTACCAAAAGCATGTTTAATTTAAAAAAAAATTGAGTTTTTGAGCTGGGGGCGCAGAAAACTTTTTTAAAAAACATTGAAATCGAAAAAATGTACAGTGTATCTTAAAGCTGAAACTCTGAGGATTATAAAAATGCCAACAAAGACATAAAAATAATCCAAGGATCAAGTTTTTGAGGAATTTCTTATCTCAAAATTTTATTTTTAAAAACTTTCTATATATTTATATTTATGTTTATCACAAAAAATACTTAATTTTCCCACTCTAGATATAATAATAATTGATATCTGTCGTGCTCGAGCAGCTACCATCATTACCGAATGTTGTTAAAAATTTATAATTCTCCGGCAGTTGTTAATAAAAATCCCATTTAATTTTTTTCAAACGCTTGACTACAACTTTTGTCTAAAAAATTTTGTTCCTGAATCATTTGATCCCAAAATACAACCAATTAAAAAGAAAAACTAATTTTTAAATTATCGATTTTTAATTTCAAAAATTGAATTAGTCTTTAATTAATTTTGAGGACCCTAAGCTTTTTAACTATCTAAAAATCTTTTAAAGCGTCAACTTTGATCTCGTAAGACATAAAATAAATATTCGGTAAAAAAACTTAAATCACGCAAAATCTCACGCTCGACAACGCGTGAAATTTCCCGTTTAACTTTTCCCCCTCGTCACGCGCCCCTGGCCAACGCTAGTTAACCCCCTCCCTCTTTAGCGGCCAAGCTAATCACGCAATTATGTCAATTTATAAAAAAAAAAAAATAGATATCGCGGGTTGCGACTTTTGATAGCGCGAATTGTAATTATTTAGTCTCCACGATATCGAATCCGGAATATTATAATTACTATTATTATGAATATATGAAAATTCTGGGTTAAATATTGAAAATACTATATCAGATCTTTTTTGTATAAAATTTAATTTCCTAAAAAAAAGTTATCAATTTAACTGTATCTCTCTAAGTTTTTCCAAAATTTAAATTTAAAGTTAAAAAATAAAATTACAAAAGTTGTTTGTAGTTTTTAAAAGTTAAAAATTTAAAATTGACTATTATTATTATTATTATTATTATTATTATTATTATTGATATTTGGAAACAGGTGAATGAACAGACGGCATGCGCTATCTGCCCACCAGCTGGATGGAGATGATATATTTCGCGGGAGTTTCAAATTCTGTAGGCATTTGTTAAATATTCTTATGGCAAAGAGGTGGAGAAGAGATGAAAAGGGCAGAGGGAAGGGAGAGAGCACTTGTTCGGCAGGAAGACGCACCTGACACTAATCCAACGGTCAATATTCCCCCTGTTGTTGTTTTTAGAAAATTTTAACTGCCTTTGTTCCCTTACCGAAATTACGGTTGGAATTTGCTAAAAATTCGGTAAATATCGAGCGGTTTTCCGGCGATAGCTCGTAGAATGGAGATATTCCGAGTTTTATGTTCAGCTGGTTGAAAAGCTGATTAAATTTCCTAAAAAATGACTCGTAGCACGGCTCATTAGCTTTTGGGTCAATTTTTTGATTAATTGGTTAATAAAATATTAATCAATTAATTTGGTGTTAATTATTAATTTAATATACAAGTGTGGGTAGTCATTTTATTCGGGCTGACAATCTCTAGGTCGCACTCTGCTTGGATTTTCAAATTTTTTAAATTATTAATTGTGAATTTTTTTAAATTAAAAATATTTAATGTAAATATTTTTTTATTTTCATACGTGAGCTATAAAGTATTGCATTACTGGAGATAACTTTTATGATCACGAAAAGTTGTTAAATTTTTTTAAGAGTCTTCTAGAATAGGTGAATCATTTTTTTTTTATTAACATAGATAAATATTGTTTTAATGTAAAAATTCAATTGATAATTTTTCAATGTTATTAATAAACTTATCAATTACAATTTGTACAATACTAAAATTATTAGTTATTAATTGTTCTATTAGAAAAAATCCAAATTATCCTTTATAATAATATTATATTATACCCTTAGTTTTTTGAATTCGACTATAATTTTTCTTTTTGCTATCGGTATCAGTTACAACACTTAAAAATTGACGGTTGTAATGGAGAATTGACAATCGTAACACTGTTTTTTTTTTTTTTTTTTTTTTTTTCGAGTCGCGTGGGACCTTCAGGTGAAACTTTTTACCTCGGAACCTGAGGGGTGCACCTGCTATACACCTGTTGGGGCCGTTGCAACGTCTCAAGAGAAATAAAAGACAACACCACTATCTTTCCTTCTTCCCAGAATTCGTTGTGTTATTATTATTACCAACCGCAAGGCCCCCCTCCCCCTTTAACAATAATTAAAGTCACTTAAAATTGGAGATTTAGAATATTTTCCATTGAGTTTGGGAGAATTTTTTAAAAATTTATCGAGCTTGGTACGTTGGTGGCTTGCACCGCGAAAGTCCCGAAGATGAGCAAGGTGCGCTCCAAGCTGGAAGGTGCTGACGGCCGTTGAGGCAGCTGATCTCCCCGGAACGCCAGCAGGTGAATACCTCTCAGATGGAGTGAAGAGGGAGGAGGCAGGAGGCAGGAGGAATATTTTAGTGGTAAGCCGTTTTTGTTGCCAGGCAGCTCATAGAGACCAAAAAGATTATTTATTAAATTATCATTTTTTATTCTCAGGGGGCCAATTTCACGCAAAAGTATCTCCGGATCTAGTGCTCCAAAGATCATCGATAGGGAGGGTTTTCGATCGCCAAAAGTCAGAGCTAGCTAGAACCTTAGCTTGGTTACTTTTAAAAAAATTAATTTTTTATTGAAATTCTTTAAATAATTATTTTTCTAAAATTTATCTTTAATAAAATAAAAAGAGTAAGGTAAAAGACCCAGTTACTGACACTTCTAACGTTATTTTGAATTTAAAAAAAAAAAAAAAAAAACATTTCATTAAATATATAGTTTTATAAATTAAAACTAATTAATTATACATTATTTAGTTTTTAATTATAATATATCACTTTAAATGACATTTATGTATTAAAATGTGGGTGTCAATAACTAGGTGGATTTTTTTAAGAACCCCGCAGTTATTGACACCCGAATTTTGACCTATTATCGAGGATATTTCGTTGTTGACGTTTCAATGAAATATTTATATTTATTATACTTGATTTATTATAATAATATGCTTTTATTTATAATCGTAGAGTTAAATTAACATTAAAATGTTTTAATTATAATATACAAGTTTAATTTATCTTTTATTGAATGATTTTTATTTTATTTTAATTAAATAATGTAAACCTAACGAATAATAATGAATAATTTTTATAAATTAGTGTCAGAAACTAGGTCCTACAACGTTACTGCTTAAAACATTAATTTAAATTATAAACTGCGGTCCCATATAATTCTTTGGCGTTGAATAATCTTTTAAAGAAATTATAAATTTTTTTATGATGCAAAAATTATTTACTCCAATTATAAATATTGTAATAACTTCTGCCGTCACTGTTAGAGTGTCAGAAACTGGGCCCTTTACCTTAACCGATCGAATAATGAAAATGTTAAAATTTTCCATAAAAAAATGAAAGCGAAACTTTGAGGATGAATTGACAAGAAAGAAGCGGCCGTTTAACGATAACAATAATAGTATCACGAAGAGTGTTTGAACGGAACCGGCATATAATCGAGAGATTTAATCGCGGATGGAAAACAAAGAGCGTTGGAGCGTCAACTCGGTGTTGAATCATAAGTTACAAGTTATAAGTTATAAGTACAAGTACAAGAAGGGACCATCTGTTGACTCAAGGAAGTTTCTGTTTAGGAAGTCCATGGGAACTTTTATATTACCAGCACCACCTCGTATACTTAAACTCGGACTCGGACATGGGAACTTGCTTCGATACCGAACAACCGAACCGTCTTTGTGTCCTTCATTAATATTTCACTTTTTCGTCGGCAGTCTAATCGATTACTTTATACTTTATGTCGTCTATTATTAGTAATGCCGCCGTAAAATATGTCATTTATTTGAATTAGGTCTGTTGGATTTTCTCCGGAAGTTATTATAATTATTAATTAGTCCAAGATTTTTCTGAGGACTTTTTTTTTTTTTATTTTTTTTTTTTTTTTTTTTTTATTTTTACAGTTTTTCTTGGACAATTTTTGGAGAGGGTTTAATTTTTACTGAATTTAAAATAATAATTTTTGACTATAGTATAGACTTGAAAAA